ATGTATAGGGTAACGCTCCGGCGAGAATGATGCTCAGTGAAAAAAATAAGAATACATAATAGCCATTGAATCGGATGATCCAACGACTAAAAAAATACATCATTTTATACATTCATAAGGGTAATTTTGACATTATACACAATTACACCACTGCCCAAGTCAACCCCACGGTCCCCACCACACCAAACTCTCTCTCTCACAAACACACACACACCACACACTAACTCACACACATTGGCAAGCACGCATATCACACACAACATTTACACACACAAACAGACGGATCTACACCGCCACATGCCCTGCCACAGTCGCCTCCCCCCCGCCGCCGTCGCTCCGCCACTGCCGCCGCCGGCGAGAGCACCACCGTCACAGCCGCCTTCATCCCTACCTGCCGGAGCGTCCACGCCACCACCGGATTGCACAGACCGAATGTGGCCGGAAAATTGCCCCGCCAACACAGCAATACATTGGTCGTCCGCTTCAGCCAGGCAACAAATCGAATCCCACGGCCATCAAAACTGCCCGTCGCAGCTCCGTTCTCACCAGCGCCAGACAACCACCCGATTTAAAAAAAAAAAAAAGGTCGGATGAGCACATCACCGGCGAGATGCCGTACGTCCTCTCAGCCAGGCGATTCGCGACGACAAGAACGACGGCCGAATTGGTCGGGAACACGTGAAATGTGTGTTGGGATTGAGGACTATGATTTGAGAATTTGATATTTGGAAGGGATCTAATTGTAAATTTCAGAATTTTATTATAATTCAAACATGGGTGAAATCTGCAATTTATGAAAAATATATAAAATAATAGTATTCTTTATATATGTTTTTATACATGTATCATTTATGTCATTTTTAACAAAAAATAAAAATAAAAATATTAAAAACTAAAATATATTATTATAATAATAAATAATAAAATATTTTATCAATTTAGGTTAATGCAATCAACCATTCGAATAATAATAATTATTTCAGTTAAGTTTTTTAGTTTGAATATGAACATAAAAAAACTCAATTTTAATGCACAATATTATCATTTTGCACATTAGTGAATGTCAGATTGCACTATAGTATTAGACAAAATGCACATTAATGCGTTTGAAATTAATTTATTTAAAAAATATTATTAGTTATTTTCGACATATAATATTAAATAAAAAATTAAAATTACTAGATATATTTTAATTACATGAGTTATATAATAAGTGTAAAGTAATGTTAATTAAAATACACATTATTAAATTTTCCTAAAATTGAAATGCACATAAAAAAATACTCGATCATTAGAATGCGCACGAATGTTATACTAGCTAAATGCACATTTGTGTTTGGGTGCTTGCACTTTATTGATTTTGATATTTTATATATTATATTTTCAACCAAGAAATAATATAAAAATAATATATAATATTAGTAACATATTAAATATAATTTTAGTATAAAGAACAATTTATTTCAATTAGTTAGCATAATTCGGTTAACTGAACCGAGTAACCAATTATTTATGTTCAATTTCAATTTGATTTAAAACAACAGTTCGTTCATTCAATCTGCATATAGACCGACACCATGCACCATAATGTTGGACGAATTGCACATTAATAATTGGTAGATTGCACATTATATTTTATTTACACATATATATTTTTTTTAACAAATATATAATATTAAATAAAAATAATACAGACTAAATTTGGCTTTTTTTACTCATTAGCTCATCTGATCTAATGACTATGATTTATTCTTGTTTCTCTCATTGAGTACCATTTTCACCGAAGTGTGATCCTATATATATATTATTTTAATATTCTCACACGTAGGGTGGTTCTTGTAGTTATTTCTTGAATAATTATGGTGGCATAACTATGTTATTTGATAAGTTAAAGGATGCTTGGATATAAAATATTCCACAAAAATTTAATTATTTTTAACCAATCACTTTTTTCAATTCAACTTTAACTCAACTTTACTATTCTCAACATTATCAATATAATTAAGTGCTATAATTCAATCATTCTTACATATTATATCAACTTTAATTCACTATTCATCCACTCACATAATCTTAACTGACTATCATTTCACACCATATCTTTCATACTTTTTACATCAAATCAACTTTAATTATTTAATTTTATTTTCATATAAATTCAAAATCTCACTAACAACTAACAAACTCATTTTTATTAAAATTAACCAAATCAATCTAAAAATTCCAATCAAAATCAAAAAATTCTATATTGATGTGTAAAATTTTCCAGAAATTTCCAGGAAATCTGTCAAAATTATATATGTACAATAGAACACATGTTTATTTTTATATTATAATATAACAAGAAGTTCAATTGGGACAAACAGCATAAGTTATAGTGGCCCTCCCGATTCGTTTTATCAGATTTGATTTGTGCAATTTTAAGTTCAAACTTCACGTGGATATAGACTTATAGAGTAGGAACTGACCTCGGAAGACGGAACAAATTAAAACCATAAAAGTCATAAAAGACAATTTCATTTATTTGAGAAATTCATGCGCACCTAAGAAGAATCTTAGAATTCTTTGGACTAGTTTTGTTTATGTGTTTTGGTTTAGTTTTGCGGCTCTTACATAAACTTATCTTGGATAACGTAGAAAAAAATATTTAAAAGTAATAAAATTGACTCTAATGCAAAGAGATTAGGTCTTTATTTGAATTTAAAATAAATTTAAGGGTAGTCTGTGTCTCTTTTTCTTGCTGCCACATCAGTACGACACAGTCTATTTGCACTTGAATTCGAGAGTATATTTTTCTAGGCTGAGTCTATTTTTTACATGGCATTTATATTTTTTTGAATAGACCCAAAGCATTGTGGGTGCTCTTAGATTATTTTAGATGAGCTAATTTGAATGATAAGAGCATCCACAATGCTTTAAGTTCAATCACAAAAAATTGTATGTCACCTAAGAAATAGACTTAGTCTAAAAAAATGTATTCTCCAATGCAAACAAAAGTAGATTGAGTCTTGCTGATGTGGCAGCCAAAAAAAGAGAACATGTCTACCCTTAAGTCTATTTTAGACCCAAATAGAAACCTAGTCTTTTTGCATTGGAATGAATTTTATCAATTTTACATAATTTTATCTATGTCATCCAAGATTTGGTTTATTTACATGCCACATAGACAAGACTAGACCCAATGCATTGTAAATGCTCTAAATTTTTTATTTTAATTCCCTAAATTAAATTTCATTATATTGATATGTAAACCTATCTCACATAAAAAATGTGTAGATTTCATTTCACTTACTTTTGTTACTGTATTTAATTGAAATAGTAACTAAAATTCGATTAAAAATTTCAATTTTACCTTTATTAGTAAATTTTTTAAACATTTTTGAAACGTGGCAGGCAATTATTTGAAATTCAAATTAAAAAAAATCAATTTAACTAATGTACAGAATCATTTTGGTCAAATATTGCGGCTATTACTTTTATTGATTGCATTGTTTAAATTTAATATATATTACATTGACAATGTATAATATATTTGGTATATATAATATTTTGCGTCTATTACCAAGTATATATTGACAATGTATATTGTATTTGGTATACAATATATATATATATATATATATATATATATATATTTATCAAACGACAGACGAACTCTTATAATCAAATAGAATAATGTACATGGGGAAACCCCGAGCCTGGGTCACTGAGAGAGCAAGCACCATACGTGCTGCCTAGCCCAAGTCAAATAGCCAAACAAATATCCATACAAATGAACCACAACTAATTAAGGCTACTCAGATCAACAAACTGTAACATGAAGTGATACAAATCAAAGCAAAAAGAAAAAAGACCACTGACACAAGACCTAGTCTTCTCCTTCCTACTATTACAACTCAAACCACTTTCCTTTCCTTGAAATTTGTCCAGTCTGTGCATGTTGCTTTGATGATCCAAGTCTCCGGTTGCCATTTCTTCTCAAACATCCACAGATTACGAGCTTGCCATAACCACCACAAAATGTACGTGGAGAGCTGAATTCGATCTTCAGAAGTCTCATCCAGTGGCATTGAACTAACCCACCACCACCACTCTTTCATAGTGAGTTGCTCCTCATGTACCCTGTTCCAGTGCACAGGTGAAAGCTTTCAAGTCTTCTGGGCTCTAGAACAATGAAATAACACACGTTCTTGTGTCTCCTCGCATCCCCACACATTGGACATTCTATTGCCACTGCGAATCCTCTTTTCCTCAGATTTCCTTGGACAGGTATAATATTATTAAAACACATTCATATGAATGTTTAACTTTGCTCAAAACCTGCATTTTCCAACACCTTGTTCTTGCTCTAATGTTCCCTAAACCAGTCCTGCTATTCTCAGCTTCAATCAAAATACAATCTTTGATTTAAACAACATAAAGTACATTGTCTTTACAGAGAACCTCCCCTTTTTGGAAAAAGAGCAACTCCACACATCCTCAGTCCTAGGATTCAGGCCCTCTATCTTTAAGATCTCTCCAACATCTTCCATTTTAAACAGAGCTCGAATTAGGCCAGCATCCCAAATCCTCCCCCTACCACACATCAAATCCTTCACCTTGAGCATACCAACATCAATTCGAGATATAGTTCAGGTTTTCCACCTCTCAGCCTAGGGACCCAGTGATAGTCATTTAGCCTAGTGTTAGTCCCATTTTTTATAGTAATGCTCACATGATTTTGCAGGATGAGTATCAGAGTAGACCAGGAGTTCAACAACCAAGATGCTCCTTGTGTCTTCCTGTACTCAAATAGAGAATTAGAATGGAAGTACTTCTGCTTGAGAACTTGGCTAACCAGAAGTTATTGTTGGGAAAAGATTCTCCACACCTTTTTAAGAATGAGAGCTTTGTTAAACACCACAATATCCTTAAAACCTAGCCCTCCCTCAGTCTTGGCAAAGAGAGTTTATCCAAAGACTTCCAGTGCATCCCAGAACTCTGTATTTCACCCTTGCTCCACCAGAACATTGCAAACAACCTGCTCACATCCTTACACACCTCAACAGGCAACAAGAAGCAAGACGTCACAAAAACATGTAGAGCACTGAACACTGCTTTAACCAACACCTCCCTACCAGCAATAGACATAAATTTATTCTTCCAACTACCTATTTTGTTTCTCACAGCTTTAGTAACAAAATGGAAAGTCTCCTTCTTAGATCCACAAATCTCAGAGGCAAAACCAAATATTTTGAGGACCTTTTAACCACAAATCCTCTGAGCATAAAGCAAAGTTGGGACTTTGCTAACTCATAATAGTTTTTGCTTAAAAACATTGAAGACTTCCTCAGACTAACCCTCCAAAATTGCTTGATATCTATTCAACAGAGGTAAATGCTTGATATTTATTCAAGACATCCAAAATTGAAGCCACATGAAATTCATCAGCTTTGCAGAAGACTAAAGCATCATCAACAAATAATAAATGTGATATCAAGGGACCATTTTGAGAGACTTCAATTCCTCTAAAAACTCTAGTACTGACTTTGTGGGATATAAGAGCAGAGAAAGTCTCAGAGACTAGCAAGAAAAGATAGGGTGATAGGGAGTCACCCTGTCTAATTCCTCTAGTTGGAGTCATTTGCTATTAATATTGAAAGAAAAAGATGATGAAGAAATACATGCAAGAATCCATTTGATAAATAAAGAATGAAATCCCATTTTGGCCATGATTGCTCTAATATAAAATCAAAATTTCATTGACAACTAATTATACCATTTTTCTCAAAATTAACTTTAGTTAACAAAAACAATCCGCTTTGAGCGGACATATTTGTGTCCAAGTTTGGCAATGTCCAAGTCCAACAACAAAACATTATGTTTATCCTTTCATTCAGTAAGAGCTACATGAAACCCAAATCTAAACACACAATAAATTAAGTGCTAATTAATGATTATCTCCAAACATCTAAGTAGATGAATCTTGACATCATAAATTAAATGTACATATAATCAATTAAACAAAAAAAAAAAAAAAAAAAANAAAAAAAAAAAAAAAAAAATCAACGTAGCCACCACACATGGCGGTCATCCCTGGAGCTTGCAGCGCAAATGTCGATCACTATAAGCTCATGGTGGAGATCGGCCGCAAGACGTGGCTGCCACAGATTATTCCGGCACAAGGGACAGGTGGCATGCCCGTAACCGAGCCACCTGTCCAAGCACACAGCGTGAAAAAAATGTTGACACCTCAATTCCCGAACATCGTCCCCTTGTTCAATTCTGCACAAGCAAACAGCACACTCTTCTGACTCCTCGGGATCTCCACCCTTCTCGTACGTGGTCATGTCCGCATATTCTTTTAAAAATTCGGGGCCACGAGGCTGAAAGAAAGATTGGAAGAGAATGAAATCCCAAGCCCAATTTAATTGCGTGATGATGAGGATCAAGTGGGATAACAAGGCTGATCTTGGAATGATTTGATTAAGCATTCTGGGATTTTAACTAGTTGAATTTATATTATTATTTTGCAATTGGACAGGAGAATGTATATATAGGCACGTAGATAGGTTTGGTGGGCTGGGGTTTTACTTTCTACAGTTTTTTCTTCAGTCAAGAGCAAATTAATAGAATATTTCTGTTCCAAAAATACGAATAGTACTGCTTAGCGCATTCAAGAATCAAGATTGTTAATCCCTTCAGAAAATGATATTAATATTTCTTGTTTCTACGTTTTTTCGTTGAAACTGTTTCTGTGTATGATTGTGTTGACTTCGCAACTTTTATATGATAATATGACATTGAATTGAAGTTATTTACGTACACCGCGACAAACTTAGTATCCATATATATATTACACGAAAACTTATGAACGGAAGTGTTCAGTTATTATAATAAGAAGTAAAACGGAAAACAAATTAGAACTTAAGAGCAAATCCTCCAATATATTCATTCCAAATGTACCGAGTCTAAGTGGTTGGCTCGCACGATTTGAAATTCTACATATCAAAATATCATGCTTTGTGTTTAGATTTGGATAAAAAATTTGGAAACAAAATTGGATTGAAAAGTGTCATAATTTTTTCACCATACATTATTGCCTTCTATCAATTCTTCTTTCATTACCAAATTTGTCTTGAATTTAAAGATCACACAATTTTTTTTCCTTATTTCATTTTACTAAGGATTTATCCCATTCATCATTTTTTTTTTTCAATTGATAAATTCTAGCTAATTTTTTAGTATGTGTCTTTGTTTACGTAATGAATAATGATGAACTAAAATTAAATATTATACTTATATTGATAATATAATTGATAAAATCTTAACTAAACACGTCATTTATCTTAATTCTCAACAATTTTAGCCCTTATCTTAATTATCTCCCTTATCTTATTTTTTCAAGCTGATAAATTTTAGCCCATTCATCATTTTTTTTTTCTTTTCATGTTGATAATTTTTAGCTCATTCATCATATTTTTTTATTTTTCCAAGTTGATAAATTTTAGTCATTTTTTAGCTCATGTCTTTGTTTACTTATTGATGAACAAAAATTATATATTATAATTATATTGATAATATAACTAATGTATGAAACTGGCATGCATCCTGGCTCCCGATATTAACTAAACACATCATTTATCTTATTAATATTAACCTCTTGATTTATGGATGTCACAATTCATTACAAATTTATGCTGCGACAAGGATGAAAAAAATGTAGAACGAACAATGTTGTGTACAAATAAACATTTTAGAACTTGAAATAAAATACCAATGTATAGTATCTTTTGTTTTATGAAACTTCCATTCATTTATTTTGTATATACTTACAATAACTAAATTATTTTACCTTTTTTGTACAAATTATTTTTTCATACATCCGTGTAGTGCACGGGTGTCATACTAGTAGCTATTAAAGCCGAAGCGAGTAATGTCTTTCCGCAAGACAAACACGCACCGTATAGTGCTAACGGGTCTGTGCGTCTTGTACTATTGACTTAGAATTTGTAGTCCACGAGACTTCAGAGCTCCGACGAACACGAACAGAAGGAGATGTAAATGTATGTCTTGTGCTTCAGAATTTCAAATAATATTGCAGAATGCCAGTATAGAGTGAGAAGCAGATATATGTCTTGTGTATCATCTGCAGCTTCTACACGGTCCTATTTATAGGACTTCAAGACCAAGTGGAATTCAACTCGTAACAGCCTTGGGCTTCACGTTGCAAATTAATTTTGCAGTAAAAAGATTATAGAACCCAAAACTGGCCCGGACCGTCCAAGGCCACCCACAGTCCAATTGTCAATGACCATGACCCAAGCCTTAGACCAACCCAACTAGCCTAGACTGTCAAAAGCCACCCAAGTCTTGCTCACAGTATAATAGCCAAGGACCAATACCGAAGTCCAAGTCACAGGCCCGTGACCATGCCCGAGCTGACCCGAGCAGGCTGGGAGGCTGGCGCACGTGCGCTTGTGGCCGAAGCCAACAAACACCAATACTTCGTGCATAGCTTTGCTGTTGTTGTGTCATCTCCAACTCTTTTTATTATAATTAAGAGAATTAATTATATTTAAGAGTCCCATGTGGAAAAGGACTCTTGACCTTTCGAATCACACAACCATTGTTTTACGTTTCTATTTATGACTAACTTGAATCATTTATTTCTCACTCATCGAAAATCAGTTTTAATATACGACAAGTATCTACTCGGAACATAGAACTTTTCCACACAAATTAATTCAATCAGAATTAAATATTTAATCATGATAAAATTAGTCAAAATCGGGTCAAATACAAGTTTTATAACTGATTGTCCAACAACTACTGCATCAATTGTACTCAAAAAGACGATTTTAACAGTTAAACCTAGGCGAGTGTTACCGTTAGCCTCCTCCCAGCAGAGCACTCTGCACCGCCTCGAAATTCTGCCACTAGGTCGTGCTCTTGGTCTCTCGTCGCATCGTGGCCCTCTCTGTCGGGTACCATCTCGCCGCTTAGAAGATGGTCGGTTGTTTGATTCTCGAGGGTGGTTCTGGTGTTGAAGGTTGCGTGGCTGAGCGGCAGGCTCTCATGTTGTCTGCCTTGCTGTGGCTAGAACCGATGTTAGCCTCTTCAACCCCCCATGTTCTTCTTTTTGCCTTGTCCTTGGGTCGTAGGTGGTCACCGACAGGTGTGGGTCGTGGTCCGGTGGCTCGTCGGCTTTGGTGGTTGTTGGTTGGTGAACAGGGAGGATTTCGGGGCTTATTTTGGCTTGCTCTTCCTTTGTCTTCCCGTCGATCCTGGTGGTGGGGGGGGGTCTCTCCTGTGGGTAGGTGTGGGTGGTGGACCCGGTGGCTTGTCGGCTTTGGCTACCAGTCGGTGTGGGGTTTGGTGGTTGGGGATAATCTTCGGTTTCAAGTCGGGTGTCTTCTTCTTGAAAAGGGGGATGGTCTAAGGATTTCAAGTCCAGCTAGGCGTTGTTTCTGTAGTTTCAGGATCAGTGACTTGGACCCAGTCTCTTTCTGTGGCGGTGGTGGCTCTCCGGGCTCGGTGTCATGGTTGCCTTTTCGGAGTGGCTTCTAAGTGTAGGGANGTTTCCTAATTTATAATTTTTGTGAGTGCGTTTAGTTTTGTAGTTCTGTGCTACAGTCATTCCGACATGTATGCCTCCAGCTCAATTCGGCTTTTAGCTATTTCGGTCAGCTAGAGACCTGCTTGTAATTAAGTGTTTTCAGTTATAAATTCTATATATATAAAAAAAGATATTATTACATCCATTTTTTACATTTAAGTTTTTTTAAATAAATTAAACTATGGTGCAAATTTAGACGGTTGGAAAATAATACCTATAAATATATTTAAAATTACGCCGGATAATTAAAGTATTAATTACACTAGACAAGAATGTTGAAGTATGTAGAATATAATATGTTGGAGTACACTGGCCTCTTTTTGCGAGGTTGGGTGTTTCATTTGTGACAGCGGTCTAAATAGGTCGCCAAGAGCATGCACAGGAAAGTTCCGTCTCTAGCAAATGTGTCAAAAATGTTGCCCAGGTTTTACCAGTCAAATTTGAGTTAATGCATGACTACTTAGGATTAGTAGTTTTGTGGTTATCCCCTCTTAATAACAAAACCTCGATTACAAGGGAGATCAAAGGTTAAACATGGAATTACAACATACATTATCAAACTTCTTATGTTCCAAACAGGGTTAATTACTATGTACTGACATGACTTGGACCATAGTGTAGTGCTCGACTGATATCACAGGTCCCATATTGTAAGGCATCGGGGAAAAAAAAAATACTAGCTTTGTAAATATTGTTGTTCTTTTCATAAAAAAAGAAAAAAAAAAAAACCTTACTTGCACAAATGTTATTATATATAATATGGTATAATATATCAACCTCTAGGTCATGTGCGACCTGAGAGCAACTCGGTTTAAGTAGACCAACCGTTCAGCCAGTGGTTGGACATGAAGACTCAAGGTCCAGAGAGCACTATGTTGATGATGGCCTTCAAGGCAACCAGTATAGCAGCTAGTCGAGCTAGGACTTTTAAGATAGTCTGATGGAAATTCAGCCAGGAAGTGAAGAGGTCGATGGTAGACCGATAACTATAAGACATATTTGCTTAGTAAAGATATTCAAAACTCTTGAAGTATAGAAGGAGTCGAGCGGATAGCTCGGCAATACCTAGAGTCATTACCTAATGAGGTAGACTGTAAACACACTATATAAATAGATAAGTACGAATATAATTAGGATAAGGACATGTAGGTAATATAATTGGGCAGTTCGGGCAAACAGACAATGAGATCATGCAGTTCTTGCACTCGGATAGTAATATCTGGTAGATCTTAGGCAACAAGGTAACATCTCTCTATAAAGAGCGTGAGGTATGATAATCAGATCACTATATACTCTAAGCATTCTATACTTACATACATTATATACATCATCTTCGAAGACTTGAGCGTCAGAATGTCTACATCAAGGCTCACCCCAAGTGTTATTTTGCTGGTATCCATACTGATTGAAGGACGGTCGGCACCTGATGATTAGACCGAATCAAGATGTTTTACACAACAATTGGCGCCAATTGTGGGAATCGATCGTTTTTGCAACCACCGCCACCAGATTCGAGGATGGGGCTATTGCTAATCTAAGAGGACAATATAATTTGTTGCTTGTGCACATACAATCCTTTAATTTCATCTTTTGTCTTCTTCTAATGCGGCAAATTTTAAATATAAGGAATGAGTTGTTACTAGAATTATAAAGGAATGATCAAGATATTGCCAATGCTCTAAATTTGATCAGGGCAAGTAAGGTCGTGCTTGTTTATAAAAAAATAGAAAAAAACTTGTTTTTTTTTTTTTTCGTTAACTAGAGTTTATTTGAAAAAGTAAATATGATAGTTTTTAGTAGGAATTTAAGAATGTATTAAAACAATATTTAACATGAAATGATTAAAATTGATTTGATGTAAAAGTAGAAGATATA